GTCTTAATGGTAAAGTTCATACATCTCGAGTACGTTATGGCGAGGTACCACAGTTTGTGAAAACGGGATTAGGTATCAATAAGTTCAATATGTTTGGAGCGAACGTGCATCTGAGCATTACTAAACTGTAATTCTATGCCACGTCTATGCTCACATGGCTAGCGAATTAACTCCTACGTGCCACACGAAGTGAGGAGGTCCTTATCCAGTAGTGGATTTAGAAAACAGCTGTATGTGCACTACATTTACTAAATACAGTACAGCATCGTCCTACAGCAGTCTGTGGATCACTGCTGTCCGCAAGGCCGTGGTCCTTATCCAGTAGTGGATTTACAAAACAGCTGTATGTGCACTACATTGACTAAATACAGTACAGCATCGTCTTACAGCAGTCTGTGGATCACTGCTGTCCGCAAGGCCGTGGGAACTGGTAGGCATAACTCTTTTAGATACAATATTTTTCACAAAACCCCAGATATGTTTTACGGTCATTGTAAAACGATTTTCATGGGTCAATAACATCAATTTATTAGTTTTTATGGATTTGCATTTACATATCACAGCACTTTTAGTGTAGTTTTCACTTCTAAAAATAAGTTATTAGTGCATGATGGTAAACAAAATCTTTATGACGGTTCCATTCTATTCTTGAGTATTGCAATATGTTCAAGAGGTAAATGCCAATGTCTGAGGTATGTTCGCCACAAAAGGACTTCAGGAGTTTTGTTATTCCTCCCTTGAAGGAGCGCAGCCTACAGTAGTTTATTATATGGTCCATAGTTTGGGTTGCATGGCCACAATCACACCACTGTGGCTTGTTTTAATTGACCATTTGTAAAGGAGATGTGCGGGTTGACAGTGGTCCACGGGTTCAGAAATATTGGGACCCGCTGGTCCACATTACATGCAGGGACGAATTAAGGCCTGGGCTTTAAGGGCTGCAGCCCAGGGGCCTCCGCCAGCTGGAGGTCCTCCAGAGATTAAGTGAAAAGTGATTTCATTTGTAAAGACTAAATTTTATTTGTTGTTAGCCTTGTACAAATAAATTATATATTTTTCTTTAACTTTGTTTTCCTTTTGAAAATATTTTTGGGGGTCTCACAGTACCTGTAGTCCAGGGGCCTACAAAATCTTAAACCGGCCCTGATTACATGCCTAAGATGGTCTGCATGGCGCCTATTACAATACAGTTTAGATTAATATGGCATCAAAATGCCACCACGTCTCAAGACCCTGTAACAGGCAAATAAATCCACAGAGACACATGGTCCCACAGACATAAAACAACAGAGACCCACAGACAGGTCAAAGAGAGCAAACTGACCCACGAATAAACCTATCCACAATAATAGCACTGTGGATGTTTGTGACCACATGCAGGTAAGTAAAATGAACCAACGATAAATATGTTGGGTTGCCTTGAAGTGGGAGAGAGACATGCGTGAGTCACAAATAGCCCACACATGTGCCGTGTGTATATGTATGTGTGTGCATTTAACATTCACACGCACTATGAAGAGATAATTGGGTATATTCCATGGCTTATCACTGCAATGATTTACATGTTGGTGATACCAAAGCTTTCATACTGGAGAACTGAAAATGTTTTGTCTAATTACTCAGGACAATACGAGAAGAATGAATACATGATTTATATTCACAAGTTGTTGTGTGTTTTATTTCCTAGAGTTTAGAGGCCAGAACGACACTATACATCGCAGCCTGTTGCTATGGGGGAATAGTAGTTTTATGCCGATTTCCAATAATAGATTCATGGAGTGTACAAATCTTGACTTAAAGCTTTCGTGACTGTAGGAATTCACATTCTTTGGGTCTTTTGGTAAAGCCACCTGAAGACGATTGCTTGTGTTACGATTGAAACGTCGTGATTTTTATTTTTGTTATTTTTTCTATCTACGTGGCTTTACCGAAAGACCCAAATAATATGAATCATAGAGTGTACGTCTTGATTTTGGTACCATTTTTCTTTGAAGAAATTATCATTGGTATATGTTTATCGAATGGCTTGGACAAAACAACACATACCGTGTTATATTATGTTTATTTTTTTCATTAAAAATGTTATTTGACCTAACAGTGTGAGCTGTGTAACAAAAATGTCCTCTGGTAAACATACATTACATTCGTTTTGTACATTATCCAGTGTGTCTTGTACATAAAATACTATAATCTACTATAATACAAAAATACAGTAATGAACATTATCAGTGGCCTAGTTTGCAAAATACCAAAATCACTCAAACTGAAAAAAACATTTCCTATCTATTGAACATATTTGTCATGAACAGCTCATCATAACATTTACATACTGTAGGAACAGTGAGTGGTTGGCCTGTAATAGAGACTAACTTGACAATAACTGAATTGTTAATCAGAAAAAAAGTGTAGGCTGTAATATGAAAAATCACACACACAAATAAAGAATGTCTATAAATTTGGTGGACTTGTGTAGAAATATAAAAATGGTCAGCCATGCACTATCTACTGCTGGATGAAGGCTTCCCCAAATTGTCATCTCTCACAGTCACATGATGCAACGATCCATCTAACTCCTGCACACGAGCTGATGTCAACGCTATCTCTGCAGTGGCCATCCTTCTTGAGCACGTTCCCTCCTCCGGCTGCCACTCAGTCATTAGTCTCAACCATCGGCCATCATCCATTCTCGCAAGGTGCCTGCCCATGCCCACTTACTTTTCTTAACAGTCAACACTACGTCTCCAATTTCCATTTGTTCTCTGATCAGTGTTATCCTGTCTCTGTTTTTCAGTGTACATTCCAAACATGCAACCTCCAAGCCTCTTTGTGCACTTTACTTGTGTTGCGTCCAAAACGTCGTGATTTATTTTGTTTTATTTCTACCTACGTGACTTTACCGAAAGAACCAAAGAGTATGGATTCCTGCAGTCACGAAAGCTTCAAATCAAGAATTTACAAAATTTGTTCCATTTCATTCGTTGTCCATTTTTTCGCAATCCACAATACATAAGAGGTACTCATCTTGATTTGAAGCTTTCGTGACTGCAGGAATCCATACTCTTTGGTTCTTTCGGTAAAGCCATGTAGGTAGAAAAAATAATAGATCACGACGTTTCGATTGCAACGCAAGCAATCGTCATCAGGGTGAAGAAAGAGGAAGGAAGCTGCTGATGCAGGTTGCTTTTAAAGGTTAGAGATGGGCGTAGCAACAGAGTCATAAACGAAGTGGGGGGGGGGGGGGCTAGTGATGTTAAAGTGAGAAATTTGCATGTAAATGTATTGTGTAAATGTGATTAGCATGTAAATGTAAGCTCGCAGCACGCCGTCACATCGAGGACTGTATGTAAATGTAGAAATTTGCATGTAAATGTACTGTGTAAGTGTTATTAGAATGTCAATGTAAGCTCGCAGTGTGCCTTCACATCGAGGACTGCATGTAAACGTAAGATCGGCTTTCAGTGCACCGTCACATCGAGGACTGCATGTAAATGCAAGATCAGAGAAATTTGCATGCAAATGTACTGTGTAAATGTGATTAGCTCGTCAATGTAAGCTCGCAGCGTGCCATCACATCGAGGACCCCATGTAAATGTAAGATCGGAAAAAGCTCGGATAGAACCACAGCCACATCGGAGCAAGCAAACGACGGTGGCTGTGTTAGTGAATGTAACTCAGAGAGTCGCAAATAACTGCTGACATAGGCAGGTAGGAAGGGAACATCACCGCCAGTTATGACCTAAACTGGTTAATAACGTCTTTCCAATGATTGCTCAGTTTGTACCCATCTTCTCGGTTAAAATTGTGTCCGTGTTTATATATCTGGATGGTTTCATGAACGAATCTTTGATGATAGCCCGAAGGTTTGCAGAGTACCTTGGTATCGGAAAAAACAATGTCATGTGAGCCCACCGCGTTCAAGCAGTGATCAGCCACGGCAGAGGTCAGCCGTGTTTCAAAACTGCCTTGTATTCACAAACACGGTCCGATACATGTCATTTCGTTTTCCCAATGTAACTGCTACCGCAGACACAACTTAGTTTGTAGACAACAGGGTGTTGCATGTCAGGAATCACATCTATGTCAGCAGTTATTTGCGACTCTCTGAGTTACATTCACTAACACAGCCACCGTCGTTTGCTTGCTCCGATGTGGCTGTGGTTCATTCCGAGGTTTTTCCGATCTTACATTTACATGCAGTCCTTGATGTGACGGCGCGCTGCGAGCCGATCTTATGTTTACATGCAGTCCTCGATGTAAAGGCACGCTGCGAGCTTACATTGACATCCTAATCACATTTACACCAGTGGCGGCTCCTGCAAAATCTCTCAGGGGGGGCAAATGTTTGGATGATTGATAAGAATAAGGTCCACCCATGCAATGGATAAATTAACAGCTTAAGCATGTAAAGGCAACTTCACTACTTTAATATTAATGAAAAATAAAGTGACTCTTACAATACATCTCCTTGTTTGTTTCTATACTCACTATTATTACACTGCTTACATCACATTACTCGCTTAATACACTGCTTACTTATACTGAAATTTTGCTCTTCTCTCTTTCAAAGTAACAAAGTGATCAATTACTCTCTCATTGCAAGCAGGTATGTTCCTGACTAGTTCCCTCTCCATGGAAAGCATAGCCAGTGCATTCAGACGTTCCTGTCCCATTACATTTCTCAGGAATGTCTTGATTCTCTTTAAGGTTGAGAAACACCTTTCAGCTTCAGCAGTTGTCATGGGAGTGGTTATGAGGATGTTCAACAGAGCAACAGTCTCTGAAAAAGTATCCTGGAGGTTGTACTTCAGCAAAACCTGGTACAGCGCCAGTGCACCACATCAGCCCTTGAATTCTGGACTCTCATAAATGAGAGACAGTTCAGTCTTCAGCTTCGCCTTATTAAACATAGGGTATGCCCTGACAGTGATGTTCAGAGCCTCAACAGGGAATGTATGGCCATGCTGTTGAAACATCTCTCCTTGTAGCAGCGTGGCACTTACAAGGTGGTCGGTAAAGGAGAACCTTTCTTTGGTGTGGACCAAGATTGTGTCGCAGACCTGACAAAATAAATACATTTATTTTAGTTATAAAATAAATTATTTATTATACTATAAATATGGAGATACAAGGTTTCCATCCCGACAGCAACAATGTATCAGGCAGAATCCATATTTTATATCTCCATATTTTTTCAAAAATTTATGCTATTGGTCACCCTTTACATCTGTCAATGTGTTTTACAAATATTTAACAAATGAAAAGCATTAAAAGAGCTTGGAAATTATTTTGGGGAAAAAACAGGTTTTCTTTCGTTTCCTGAAAAGTAACAGTTTTGGACATACAAGGCTTCCGTCCGACAGCGATGTTTGTTCCCACCAATCGCTGCACAAGTTAAGGATACGTATGATGACGTAAGCACGTTAGTGCGAGCCCTCCCGGAACCCATAGAGAATGCATTGCAGTGCCTGCAGTTCGGAAAAAAACATCTTTGAATGTAAGTCTATGGGAATACTCTGGGCGATTCTCAGCCAGAGTGAAATCGCCCAAAAAGAGGCGGTACTCCACAGAACGTGACATGACGCTGATTGGACTATATCCAGAGGCACAGTGACGGCTAGCGTAACTCTGTGGTTGAATGAGATTTTGAATGTGATTGAAAAAGTCCCTTTCACACTTTGGTGGTGCGACGCCCAATCGCCCTAATGAAGAAACCGCCCCTGATTTACACAGTACATTTACATGCATATTTCTACATTTATATGCAGTCCTCGATGTGACGGCACGCTGCGAGCTTACATTGACTTGCCAATCACATTTACACAGTACATTTACACAATACATTTACATGCAAATTTCGCACTTTAACATCACTAGCTCCCCCCCCCCCCCCACTTCGTTTATGACTCTGGGGCTACGCCCATCTCTAACCCTTAAAAGCAGCCTGCATCAGCAGCTTCCCTCCTCTTTCTTCCGCCTGACGACGATTGCATAAGAGGTATTATGCAGTGATTGAAAAACGTCATTCCTTGGGCATATATATGAATCACTTTTTTATCAAGTTCCACTCCACCCTGCATTTAACTCATCTCTAATCAAAATGGTCGAGTGGATCTACTTGAAATGCTCCACCATCCTGCCCCAATCGACCAAATGCCAATCTTGCCATATAGTTTACCTGGATTTACAGCCAATGTCGTAGGGTTATGCCAATGGCAAAATAATATAACCTAAAATAAATTAGCCCTTTTTTTAGACGGAAAAAACTACATTCCTAACAAACAGTTTCAGGTAGACAAAACAAAAATGTTGGTACCAGAGACAATAGTAAGCATATACAGCCATAACATTCTCTTAATTCGTTTTTCAAAAAATAATTGAACTTGACCAAAAGTACTACATATTGTGGGCCACTTATTTAGCACTCGCCAACATATGACTGTAAAGTGGAAGGTTAGACACGTCACGTGATGGCTGTGATGCACAGCAGCCATTTATCTTTCAAGTCATCTGTTAATGGCCCAACATGAGGAAATTAGACACGATAAACAGACCCAATGAATTGCAGCGATTGATCTGTCTGTGTCCGCTTGAACTCCTGACCTGCTTCTCGTTCTCGTCCTCCAGTCGAAGGCGATCCTCGATGCAGTTGCGTGCCTGCAGGAAGGCTTTGCGCTGGGCGCGCTCGGTGAGCACGCGAATGAAGGCGCCCGAGAGGTTCACGCTCACAAAGAGAGACACATTTGCCAGCAACTGCAGGGAAAAGATGTTGAACATCACGTCCCATTGCATCGCAGGCCAAGCACTCACGTGCACAACCGTGGAAGGCCACATTAAATGCCCCCTTGCGTCCCCTCTGAGCGCAATCTATTGCCATTGGCACTGAGAAGGACCGAACCGTCTTACAGATTAAGGAGATATCAGTATGTAGTACATGCTGTCCCTGGGAGCGAGGTCAGTGTGGAAACATGTTGCCTTCGGGCTACTGCAAAGGCCTCCAAAGGGTTAATATGTGCCCAGCAAACTCAGCGAGGTGAGAATATCGATTATGTTATACCAAAGAACATTACACTCAGCTGTCTCTAGGTACACATTGATGTAAAACATTTGAATTTCATTTGCAATAATAAGAACCCCTTGCACACTCTTTGCTCTTTTAGTGATAGTGATGACTGAAAGTACAACAATGTTCATTTTTTTCTGATGGGCACATGACAAATGAAAAGCACTTGCACGGAAGTACCTTTAACCACACAAGTACTCTCAATAGATATACAAGCAAAAAGTGAAAGTGACAAATATGTTTGCATGCGTGCAATTCTTTTCAATGTTACTGAATTCCACCATGCAGCATATTGTGAGCCTGTATTCTGATGCAGTACAACTAAATGGGTCATATTAAAAAGCTGCAAAGCTTCTATGACACTATAACACTACACTGGAAAGGTACCTGTTGTGATGCTATCATTACATACCAATATCACAATGCAATGAGCATTCCAGAGCCATTATATCCTTCACACAATGAAACAACTTTAATTTTTTTAAATATATGTTTAAACCAAAAAGTTATTTGATCAATTGTTTACTCAAGATATGTATATAAATAATGAGAAATTGAGATTTATTGTCATTGCTGTACCTTAAAAATATATATCTAAGAGGTATGCTCTATAATGCTGTTGACTAAGATTGCCGAATACTATGACAATTTTGGCATTCTCACAATGGTAAACGTTAAAGAAAACACACCACGGTATACAGTAATAATGATATTGTTAAACCAATGTATCCTGTTGTATTAAGCATGTGAATTTATTCTAGTTTTAACAAAAGCTAGTATAATATAATAAAGAAAAAAAAAAACACTGCACGAGCCAGCTATTAAATGTTTGAAAATGGTAATTTAACAAAAACCTTATACCAGTAGACATAATCAATATAAATGGTAGCAGGTGTAGTCAATCGTTTTTCTGGATAATAAACAATGATACTGCAGTGCTGGCTATAAATACCACAGACCACGTATGCAACTATAAGCAATATATCATTTCAGAAATACCTGGCATTGTAACGGATTTGTGTATTTAAGCTTGGGAATTCCAGCGATGGCCAATCATTTTATTCAGAGGTGGGACAAAGTCATTGTTATGCAAGTCCAAGTCGAGTCTGAAGTCATCAAATTCATGACTCGAGTCTGACTCGAGTCCAAGTCACATGACTTGAGTCCACACCTCAGAGGTGGGACAAAGTCATTGTTATGCAAGTCCAAGTCGAGTCTGAAGTCATCAAATTCATGACTCGAGTCTGACTCGAGTCCAAGTCACATGACTCGAGTCCACACCTCTGATTTTATTTCACTTACTATATGGCGACATATATTGCAGGCTATTTGGCTTCCCCAATTGGAGAATAGCGATAGTGGTTTTGAGGGTAAGCGAAAAAAATAATCTTGAGGACCGTATCAATATTGAATAGCACCGTCCAAATGGCGGCCCACAATAATTACTTATTTTGCCGATTCAAAGCAATTAAAATCTGTAAATGACGAGAAAAACCATCACACCCGCGGCTCCTTGTTCAGTATTGCTCTCTCAAGTCAAGTGAAATAATCGCTGTGCTCCAATAAGGGTTGGGTGGTTGCCCCTATCCATTGGTGACCCTACATCTGTGGTGGGAATTATCCATTCCTACAGGGGGAGGGGGGCAGTTTCTCTGTAGGATGATCAATGTTTTACTTATTTGATCAATCCCAGAGTGGTGAAGGGCTGTCACCTACCAACAGGAATTTTAAATTACAACCTTCTGATTATAATTCAGACTCTGCCACAGGGTCACCTGGCTGCGTATACTATATCAAAACAGTATATTCATATACAGTATATTCATACATTGTACTCTACTGTACTGTATTAGTGAAACATAATATATCTTACATCGCAGTATTGTAAGGAGGCCTTCATCCAGTAGATATTTAACCATGGCTGATGATGATGATAAATACACTCTAATGTTTGACACGTTTTGTTTTACCAGACCAGCATCACGTGCAAGTGGGGGTCAAGGTGGGCTTTAGCTGTTTCCCTTTTAAAATAACGAGAATAAAATAACAAAAATGTTTGTGCTCAAGCTCTTCGGAGCAATGTTTTAGTTCCTAAGTGGGGACAAACAATTGTTGAGAGTCCTTGACTCGTTTTCACACTTAAGGGGAGAAACTGGGCTGGGCAAAATCGGAGCTGAAACTCCAGGGTTTTGGAAGTATTCTTTGACAAAATTAGATCAATCTCTTTGTGCACCTCAAACATCTGCAGCACTCTCAGCAGTCATTTTCCACAGTCCCCAATTTGCAGCTACGGGTACCCCGCTCCCCCCCCCCCCCCCCCCCAGTTTCTGTGCAATAAAATACCAATGTGTTTTTCTTGTTTGAAATTAATGAATAAAAATGCACTTATGTATGCTATTACTGCAGCGACGCGTAATAAAGGTGTTGTGTACCGCATATCTTAGAGATAGCAGGAGAATATTATTTCTGTAAATGCTACTGCTTGGAGAAGCCGTCCAGCAGTGGTTTGACATTGGATGATAATATGTCCACGTTCAGATACGTGTGGATATAGTACACAGAATTGTTTTAAGGCTCAGCGCCCCGTTCTGAATTCTTAGTAAAATAAAATGGTGTTACAATATTTTGAATGTCGTGACCCCACTGAGCGTTTAGTGTGTTCCTCTTTTAGACTCCATAGGACATATGCATGATTCTAAAATTTGAATCCTTGAAGTAATAAACATCAAAAACTATTTAAAACATTACTGCAGCCTTCCGGAAATACATAGTCAACACTGCAAAGCGTAATTTCATTCAACCGGACTGAACCTGGTGAATGGGTATGTTGTACAATGGGCCACTGCGGAGCACACATGCAGCGCTTGGTCTGTTTTCTGTCAGAACCGTGACCAATGGCGTACATCTTTCATAATCACCGGCCATAATGAATCAACTGCTGGATGAAGACCGACCCAAGCCGTCGACTTCTCATGATCCGACGATGTACTCATATTAATCAACCCAGCACCTGCACACGAGCTGCTTTAATCGCTCCATCTCCTTCGGCAGACGTCCTCTCTGACACGTTCCATTCCTTGGCGACCACGCAGTAATTATTCCTGACCAATGGATAATAGCCTTGCCCAAGCGCACTTACTTCTCTTAACAGTTCCGATGAAGTAATTAACCTGCGTATGTTCCCTCATCCGTGCCGTTTTTGATGTCTGTCTCTCAAAGCAATTCCGAGAATGGTAAATCTAGGAATAACACGATATTTTAGGAGCGCCACCTATGGACGCAACTAAACACTACGGTACTTTCCTGCAAATGTATTTAAACATCACCAACCTTCCATACAAGGGCGTCGCGTGCTAATTGCTCCAGTGTCTACAATTGCTACCGGTGTCAGCTGCAGCTGTGTAAAATGGTGACCAACACCAACCAACAACGAAAGTGGTGGGTCAACCCTGAGCACGAGTCTCCCGTCAAAGCACTTCTAAGATGGCACCGGACACTTTAATTAAAGTAATGAGCCGAGACGTGGCTGTCGAGTAATTTGTACAAGATAATGCAACGATGGCTGTGTGTTAAACACATGAGGTCCCAATTGTGCAATCAACCACGGCGATGTCTCCCCCCCACCCCCATACCCGCAGTGCAGGACCTGACCTGTCTTCTCGCGTTTAAGACAAATACGTACAGTGCATGTGCACTATGAGTTATATTCCCGGGTTACGGCTAACATGAGTGGCAAGTGACATCAAAACTGGTGCTGGATCCTCCCATCCCAACCTTTAACAAAGGGGCCGTCCATAAATGATGTCACGCACCTAGGGGGGGAGGTCAAACATTTGTGATGATGTGTGACGAGGGGGGGGTTGAGAAATGTGACGTCACATCAAAATGCGCAACTTTAAATAAATATAGACATGTATTACTTAATTAAGTATACTTTTTAATAAATGTTTTCTCCTACAACATCAGAGTGCAGGGCCACATTAAATACGCACTGCAATGACAATAGTTTAAAGCGATTTGAAGCATGTTTTCTTTTTTTTTGGGTAGGGGGCAGAGCTTTGTGACGTCATATTTGAGGGGGGAGTCTGACTTTTTGTGACAGCGTGTGACGATGGGGGGGGGGGGTCAAAAATCGTCCAAAATCGCGTCACGTCATTTGTGGACGGCCCTAAACCACACTGACCAGAGTGGTGAAGTATGGTAAAGGACACAAAATAAACCCTATGACCAACACGGCGTGGGAAGACCTCATTCATTTTTTAATTCAGAATGGCTGGTTCTTATTTTATTTCCTATGTTGTAACTACCTGTGTTGTACATAGGGGTTTATATACTTGCTATTTTGGGTTCTTTACAACGGATTCCATGGGTGCTAATTCAAATGTTACAACGTGCGTTATGCCCATGGTTTATAAGTGTTCAGGGTATCCCGCTGTTTTCACAACTAATTGTTTTCACAAATACTGTAACAACTTACAACTGGATGTCTACAATATTACGCTTGTGTACAAAAAAATCCCACAACCCCAAAGTTCTCATCAAGATTAAGACCGTACCGAAGTATTGCCGTAATAACTAATCGTTTGTCGTGTTTTGAAAAAATTGTCACCGACCTTTTGCTTATGGCTGCCGTCTATTTACAATCTCTTTGATCACTTTTTTACGAGCAGGCATTTAAGACCATTTTGTGCTTTTTGCGCAAATGCGTAATAAAACTGGGAAGTGTTGTTTCCCCCAATGTGTTTACACTGATTTCATTCACACACACACACTAACCCCAGAGCAAGCGCCTCTTCGGCTTTGCTATCTCAGGCAACTCGTAAAGTTCATGCGACCCATATTTCTATTTACGGACACCCTCGTAGCACGTCACTGACCTACATGTCTCACTCACCTCATTACATTGCGTCACTTTGTGTGCATGGAATGGGCCAGGCTTGGCCGGTAGTACACTGAATTAAATCTGCGAAAAGCACTCCAGAGTGTATTGTGAGCTTTAATACCGTTAGAGCTGGGCCGGGAAAAAAACTAATAAACAAATATCGTGCTGTAAATAATTTTGTTTTAAAAATATATATTATGCATGGTTATGGCTTTCGTGCTAAACGTGCACATCATTCGTTGTCCTCTCAAATGACGGAGCTCATGTCTAATCATGCGCGGTGGTCTTATTTATATTCTAAACTTCCGACTCGGTGGTAGTACTGTGGAGGTGGTGATGAACCGCATCAGATCAAAACATCACATGGACGCTGCCAGCGTGGTGAATAGCTCCATACCGTGGAGGAACATCTGATTGAAAAAATGTCCACTGTACCATTACTCATTCCCCGGAAGGGTGACTAAAATTCACTGTGCATCTCCACCCAGAAACGTCTGACCTGATATCAACACAACTTCACCCTGTAAACATGTTGCTTATCCTCCATTCTGACATCATCACAGTCACCGCAGACAAAGGATAACTTAGTCGCGGGCTGCTGTGCGTTCACCAACCACACTCACGTCTGTCTTAAACGCAATCGTACAACGGGGCATTACCGGTTGCGTGCGCTTAGCTTACATGGCCGTCGTTTTGCACAGTCCCGTAGTATGGTCACAACTGACACAATGCGGTTATCGTCTGTTCGTATAAGTTGACGGCTTATCTTTAACACGTCGCGTCTCAATGAAATGTATTTTATTTAATGGACTCCCAGTGCAAATTGTTGAGTTATGGCTCCAGCATGGGGATTTCAGAATACAGGTTCATCTATTTTATTCAGTCATCACATATCAGCTATGTACTCTCTAGATTTCCATTTCTAATGGTTGCATGATAACGGTACTATATAGTAAACGCACGACATATAAAAAGTCTCGACAGGAAACGTGTTGGATCCATTAATGTTGTCGCATGTTTGGGAATATTTAATTGTACAATTGCTCCACAGGCCGCGAATCAAACAACGAAAATACAGGTAGCTATTATTTATATCCAGTGCTAGAGCATGACTCATTCTCGATAACATCGAGCATGTAACATCTAAGTTGAAAGTGTGATTGGAAAACGCATGACATCGAGTGGGAAGTGCATATACGGCATTCTGTACGAAACTCAGCGGCGGGAGTCGAGGCCCTTTGTTAAATGTTCAGTGGACCTGTCTTCCATAGCGATATGCATGTCCTGTCCTTCGTAGCGATACGCTTGTTGTTATTCCACCGCATAAGATTGAATGCCTTTCCTTCCGACACGTGGTCCATTTGTTTACATCAAGCGGCATGTCGCGTGATGCGGCCGGCTTCGCGTGACTGACACCTTGCACATCAATTAGTTGGCTCGATCACCATCATTGTCATCATCATAATCGGCCACTAACTATCCACTGCTAGATGAAGGCCTCCCCAAGGCGTAACCATCTCCGAATGTTTGCCAGTGATGGAGACAATATGCTTTACTTAAATTAATACCGACATGAGTAAGGGTTTATTTAATATTTATTGTAAAAACTAAACCTTTTTCCGCAAAAACGAGATGTTGGTTCGAAATGGTGTGCATCAAAGAAGTGGCTGGCGTGCATGATAAAGGTGACGGAGATTATAGTTATGAGATAGATTTGTAGAGTAAGTATACAACATGATGTGAAAAACAAAGAAGTGATAAGACCAGTGAAGGTAGTAGGATTTATAGAGGACACGTTGAGTGAGAATAGACTGAGATGCTTCGGGCACGTGGCCAGACAGTCGGAATACGGCGTCGGAAATAAAATTTCAGATCATAAAAGTCGAGGGAAAGATAAAGAGGAGACCGAAGAAGACATAGTGAAAACTTGTGAATGAGGACATGAGAGTATGCGGTAGTACTGTGGACGTGGTGATAAGGGCATGAGAGTATGCGGTAGTACCGTGGATGTGGTGATGAGGGCATGAGAGTATGCGGTAGTACTGTGGTGGTGATGAACTGGAAGACTGTGGAGAGTGAGGACTCGGACAGCAGACACTTTGGCGAGGGACACACGCTGGGAGGAAGATGGAACGCAATCGTAATGGTTGAATTTCCAATAAACGATGTATATATTTCTAAAAAAACACATGAAATCAACAAGGCACATATGCACTGAATACGAATAGCCTCATTACAAAGGACCCCCCCCCCCGCTCGGGAAACCTAATTATTTCCTAATCACCCCACAGTCACGTATAGTATATGATTAAATGCGTGTTGGCTTAACGAGGGTGTGGGGGGAAACCTCAATGGGAAGTGTCAGACAGAAGGAACGAGGGGGGTCTTGAGGGGGGGGGGCTCACCGTCCTCCACAAGCCGTTCGGTAACGGCGGCGCCGACGTGGCCGTGACGATGAAGTGGGAGATGGAGACCATGAGCCCGAAGAGCAGAGCGAGTAAAGTCCGCACAGGCAGCAGAGCGTACACCACGAATGTGACGAGCATGAGCTGCCACATGCCGTGAGACGGCGGCTGCCCCGACATTCCCAGCGTGAAGGGGAACGGGCAGCAGAGGAACGAGAAGGTGAAGCTGAAGAGCAGCGTCAGGTTGACGATCTGCTGCAGCTGAGTCACCTGCAGGTACTTGACGTTCGTGACGATGAAGAGCGACGTGAAGATGACGCAGTGGATGGGATTGGAGCCCTTCGCCACCGTGATAGTGGGCGACGAGGTGAGCTCCACCACGGCGATGGTGGCCGTGGTGACGATGAGCACGGCGAGCGCCTTTAGCGTACCAGTCTGCTCCAGCTTGAGGTTGTAGCTCAGGAAGAGGCCCTCGAGCTCTCGGCAGCTGAACTCCTCCTCGCAGCCCAGCGCCTCGGCGCGCCGTCCGGGAATGCAAGGACATCGCTTTCGCCTGGACTTCACCTTCTGGAACGGCGAGTCATCCATGGCAGTGCCATCCATGCACAGGCTGGCGGGGTCGCTGGGGGGAGGGGGGTAGAGCTTGCTGCTGGCGTTGTTGCTGCTGCTTGATGGTTAGGTTGACTTGGGTGTCGAGGGGTGGATGGGGGAGGAGCGGCAAATGGGAAGTCTGGTTCGGCGGGTAGGTATGTTTGGGTAGGTTTGGGTGGCCACGTTTGGTATGCGGGTGGATGGATAGGTGGATGTGTGGGATGTAGGGGTGGCGGGTCTAGGTTGATTGGGGGGTAGGAAGGTGGGGAGATCTGTGGGGAGTGGGGGGTGAGGGGCTCCTTCTATCCGCTGGTCATGCGCGCACCCCGGATCACGGATGCGCGCAGAGCCCCGCAGCTCCCCGCCGCTTCTCTGCTCGCCGGTGCCGCCGCTCGCTCGCTCTCCACCGGCGGCCGACCCACCGTTTTCGCCAAGAACACCCAAACATTTGCTATAAATACGGACCGGGCGTGTACGGATTGGGGCTGGGCGCTGGCGTCAAGTGCCGACATATGTCATAATAATAATCTAAAAGCGAGTGCCCGTTACAGTATATAGTAAGCCTCTCTATATAAATAAATAAAAACGCGCGCGGACGGGCGATCGCAGCCACTGCGCGATGTGTGCCTCTCTCTATAAATACTCGGCTACATTCTTTACCTGCATTCTACCGCACAGCGTACCCGTACACTACTACGCACATCCCGTATAGCATCCCGTACCGCGCGCAGAAGCACGGGCTGCTCCTGCAGATGTACTAAAAATTGACGGCTGCTGTTGCGAGAGAAGAAGCCCCAGCGGCGAGCGACGGCGGCGGTAGTGGCGGTGGCGACGTCTGTGCGCGGGCGTGGGATGGGACATGCGCAGCAGCGCGGCCAGGGATAATGAGTATAATCTGCGAGGCAACCGCTGCATCCCCGGATTTATCCGAGCTGCTGACAGCGCTCACGCACACCCACCAGCAGCAGCATCAGTACGCCGCCGGTTTGCGGATTCAAGCCACCAGGGGGGTGGGGGAAGAAGGCTCCACTGTGACAGGTTTGCATGGCGAGAGGGAACGTGGGTGGGAGGAGAAGCGAGGTTGTGGTGGTGGTGGTGATGATGTAGTGGGGGGGGGTTCGACGGGAAGGACGTTGTGATGACGGGTCTCCTCTCCTACACCAGCAGTCGCAGCCTCATCATCATCAGCAGCGACCGTATAATTCCGTGAAGCGCACACTGTTGGCTTCTACTCGGGAATCAAAATGGGTGTCATGCCCCACTGCGTGACTAACGCACCTCAGCACTTTGTTTTTAAGCGCCTACTGCTTGAAATGTGTACACCATGTGAGGTAGGGTACGAAAGTCCGTAAATGGACGCAGTGTTGCGGTATTCCACATTCTTCTAGAACGTGCAAGTCGCATGCTAATAATATTCGTCATCAGCTAACATTAAGCCACTGCTGGATGAAGGCATCCCCAAGCCGTCACCAACTCCCACAGTCCTGCAATGTAAGAAACCACCGTGCACCTAAAAAGTGTCAGCTACCATTGTCACCGTTTTTTGATCATCGGCCATTGACGTGTCCTGCCCAAGCCCACTTAAAAATGTGCTTGAGTTATGTCTTTGTTCTCCTAATCCACGTGTTTCTCTTTTTATAATAATAACCTCAAATGGCAGATTTAAGTCATTGTGTTACCCAATAATAATATATAATTTCTGATCGTGGGATGGACCTGGAGGAGCGAGAAATTATCGTAGAAATTACTGTATTGAATTTCAGCTAAACGCTTGCAGTCAGGCGAATCTATCAAGAAGAGGGCAAGTCAATGCTTGCAATTGTAGTGTTGTAATTACGGACGAATAAACTTCTTTATGAGGCACACTCTTTGATGCAAAGCTTTCGTGACTGCAGGGATTCATATTCTTGGTTCTTTCGGTAAAGTCACGTAGAAGGGAAATAATAAAATGATATAAAAATAAAACAATAAAAATTCTCACGACGTTTCGACTGCAACACAAGCAGTCATCATCAGGTGTGAAATCCACAGCAAGAAAATTTGAAAAAAGTGTGGATTTCACACCTGATGATGATTGCTTGTGTTGCAGTCGAAACGTCGTGAGAATTGTTATTGTTTTATTTTTTATATCATTTTATTATTTCCCTTCTACGTGACTTTACCGAAAGAACCAAGAATATGAGGCACACTGTTTATTGTCTTTCTTCCGACACGGTCCCTATCACACATAAGGTGTATACGGTCCCCTTACCCGATGCCGAGGGAGGTATGGCCTCCGGACTTGGCGGGACCTACTCACGGGTTACCCGCTAACCTAACGTCCTCTGGCTGGGACCTAGGAGAGGCTAACTGACCCGACCACTGGGTCTGTGGGTCCCGACCACTGGTTATACTGAGCCTCAGCCCTTAGAAGGGCTGCAAGGCTTGGTTCCAGGGTCCTATCTATCTTCAGCCTGGGCTTCGGTCTTCGTGTGGAGAGAACTAACTCGAGCTCTCAGCGCTCTGGCTTTTATACAGGTTCGTGGCTGGCTCCGTCCCAGCCACGCCATTCTTGGAATCTTCTGATTGGTCCTTTCCGAACCTTCTGATTGGTCCTTCTCAAACCGTCGTTCTGATCCGCTTTCACCTTCTCTGATCCCGGGAATTTTCCCGAGCAGGATTTAGTGTTTGATCCGCTCTCACCTCTGTTTGACCCCGGGCATTTCCCCAGGGAGGTAACACTGCTGCACCCCGTTGACACTCAGTGGTAGTGCAGGTTACTGAATGGTGAGTGGCGATCACCTCTACATCACCCCCCCCCTTTTGAAAGCCCCAGCCGTCCCGGCTGTAACAATGGGGAAAAAACATAGTAACATGCAAGCCAAGTGTGTAACAAAACACCTAATATAAATACCCCCCTTACAAACACAACGTATGTACATGGTAAGTCGAAAAATATCCGAGCAACGCGCGCGACGCGACAGCAGCAGCCAACTGGCTATGCAAGAAACGATTTAGGAACGGGACCGTGTCGTGAAAAGTATGGTGGCTATCATGAGAACCGACGGGATTTAGCGCGCGTGTGTTTTGCGGGGCCGTCGTAGGGGACGGGTGGCTTCTTCGGCGCAGGTGGAACCGAAGAATCAACCAGAGAATCAGGTGGGTCAGGAAGAATCTCCGGCAGCTGTTCTATATTTAACTGAACGTCGTTGGGGGGAATGGCATCTCTGCCGTACATTAGAAAGAACGGGGAAAAACCCGTCGCCACGTGTGGCACCATGCAGTATGCGGCGAGGACCTCCGGCACCTGTAAGTCCCAATCGAGGTGGGATTTGTCAACCTGGTGGCATAGCATAAAAGTGAGGGTTCTATGCAGGCGCTCTACCATACCGTCGGTTTGAGGGTGGTAGGGCAAAGTGCGCACCTTCTTTGTGCCCAACAGGTGGCACACATCATTTAACAGGGCACCCGAGAAATTTCTTCCCTGGTCGGTCAACAGCTGTTCTGGAGCGTCCTTGTCCAGGACGTAGCCCTGAACAAAGGCGTCCACGACGGCTGCTGCCGACTGGTTGGGGAGGGCCCAGGCCATGGGCCAACGCGTAAAATACTCCACCCCAACCAGAAGGTACTTGTTACCACGCGGCGTAGTAGGAAAAGGTCCCAAAATATCGAGAGCCACTAGCTCGTTTACGCGGGATACTGAAATGGGCTGCAAGGGTGGGCACGCGGGTTTCGCCGGCGGCTTCCGCCGTGCACATTGGGTGCAACCCAGCAGAATATCGGTCACATCGCGTAGCATGCTTGGCCAGAAAAATTGCAACCGCAATAACCCAATGGTTTTGTGAACGCCCAGATGCAACAACCGTTTGTGTGCTGCCCCCATGGCCTTACCCCTCAAGGCCGAAGGCACCACGATTTTGTATTGGCATGAATCAGCATCCCAGTGCATGAGTAAACCATGCCATATAATGAATGAATTGAACTTTCCCGGACGTGGAGCCGCATTATTTGCGCGACGGTGCAGAGCCAACAATGATGCATCGTCTATCTGGTGCTGACCCCATTCAGCCAATGTTAGCCCCAACAAGTCATCGCTGGCCGTTAAACTTGTATGGTCGGCCATCGGAGCCGATTCGGAGGGAAGCGCGGTGGCCACTGTCGCCAAAGGCACGGCCAGATCAGTCAGTGACGGCTTGCAACGGCCAGACCCCAAGAAACATGCGCATTTTTGCAGCGGCGGGAGGCGAGACAATGCATCGGCATTATTGTGTTGCGTACCCTTGTAAGTAACAGTGAAATTATAGTCCTGGAGGACTTAGAGCCACCGAGAAAGCTGTCCGAACGGTTGATCAACGCGCAGAGCATACTCCAACGCCGAATGTTCAGACCGAACGGTAAAATGCTGACCGTACAGGTACGGTCTGTATTGCTGAATAAAGAATACAATGGCCAGCAGCTCGCGTCGGTTTACACAATCGCATTGCTCGGCAGGAGACAACACCCTGCTACTGTAGGCAACGACCCTTTCAATGCCATCAACAGTCTGGGACAGCACCCCGCCAATTCCAGTGTTGCTAGCGTCGGTGTCTAATATAAACGGTTCGGAGAAATCGGGATAGGCCAGGGGCGGTGCCTTAATGAGTGCATCACGCAGGGAATCAAACGCGGCCTGATCGGCGTCTCCCCAATGAAACTTCACCCATTTTGACGTGAGGGTATGAAGTGGCTTGGCGATCGTCGTGAAGCCCGCAACAAAACGTCGGTAATATGACGCGAAACCAATTAAACTGCGGACATCCCCTGCAGAGGTAGGAGTAGGCCATTGGTTGACACACTTGGTTTTTTCGGGGTCAGTAGAGATTTCCGAGCGGCTGACTATGTGGCCCAAATAGCGCACAGATTCACGCAGAAGGTGATATTTCTGCGGCTTGAATTTCAAATTAGCGGCACGCATTATCAAGAAAACAGCGCACAGACGCTCAAGGTGTTCATTGAACGTGCGGCTAAAGACGATGACGTCGTCAAGGTAAATGAGACATGAGTCCCACTGGAGCCCAGCGAGGACCAGCTCCATGAGGCTCTGGAACGTCGCTGGGGCCGAGTGGAAAACCCATGAGAAACCTATTAAATTCGAAAAGGCCCTGTGGTGTCCGAAAAGCAGTCTTTTGTTTAGACGCTTCGTCGAGGGGAAGTTGCCAAAACTACGACAGAAGGTCCAGGGTGGAAAAATAACACGCCCCTGCCAGGGCGTCTAATGACTCGTCCATTCGTGGAAGAGGGTAGGCGTCAGCTACCGAGATTTTATTCAGGCACCGAAAATGAACGCAAAAACGAAGACTGCCATTGTGCTTTTTGACCAGAACTATTGGAGCACCCCAGGGACTGGTTGAAGGAGAGATGATGTCAGCCGCAAGCATATCATCAACTGCCGATTTAACATGCCGTTCTCCGCTGGGCTGAGCTGAAATGGGTTTTGTTGGATAGGGGCAGCGTCACCAGTATCAATGTGGTGACGCAGCAGCTTGGTGCAACCAATATCGAATTTAGATTTACTGAATACATTGGAAAATTCCCGCAAAAGAGCACGCAAATTCGTCTGCTGTGACCCGGACAAATCTGCAGTGTCTGCGCAGAGTGAATCCAACCATGCTTCATCCGACTTGAAAGGAGGTTGAATCTGTGGCCCATCATACACGTGTCCCATGACCTCGGTCCCCAGGGGCGCTGGCGTCGTGTGAGCAAGCACGGTCCCCTGCGGAACGACGGTCATGGACAGGCCGACATTCAAGACCTGCAGAAATGGTTCCCTTTCAGCCGCTACTAGGGTCTGTGTGGCTACCAGTTGCAGGCCCCTAATTGCCGTGTTTGAAGGGCCCAACAAAACGCCATGTACTGAGGCATTCGAAGCGAGCGTTTTTTTAAATTATAAGGGCACGAACATTTGTGCTCCTCGCGGAATGCGTACTCTGCAGGCAGCGAATGCATGCACAGAGGCATTGGCCGTGCGTGGATGCGTGGAAGAAGGTAAAAATTCCATGCGACGGTCCGACGTTATTCGATAAATCCTTGATCCACTAGGATTT